GGGGGTAGGGAGGGGTGCATTTTGTTGTCTTCTAGGATTCTTTGGCCTTTAAATTATGTCTCTGCATTACTTTGATAAAAGAAGGTATTTTAACAGGCAGAAAAGAGTTAATAACATACATGGAACTTCCAAACCCTTTGCCTTTGCCATCACAGAAAGTATGTCCCGCGTGGAGTGGATAGCACTGAAGACATGGCGGTCTTCTGTGTTCTTACGAAGAGGAGGCAGATAGCACCTCAAGGATGTGCTCTGTAGAAGGTGGTTGATATACTGGTCAAGTTCGTCTTGGCTTTCTGTAATAGGACAAGCAAGAAAAAGAGCCAATGAAACCAAGCTGCAGAAATATGACTGCACAATAGTGACCGTGGGTAGGAAGTGGCACTGAGTAGGCTTAGCAGATGACAACACTGAGATATCGATATTTGCACTCCCACTCATCCCCGAAGAGTAAGAGGAGATTTACAGAGATAATGTATACATGTAGAAATTTATTGTTTGGAGAAACTTCATCCCAGGAAAAAACAACAACTTCAGGTCAAGGTAGTGTTTATATCTCATCCTCCCAAGATAAACTGAATAATATGTAAGACAACCTGAAGGGTAGCAGCCGAAATCTGGGCTCTTTAATTTGTCATGAGTGAGCTAAGCCTTATGGAACTCCCAGCCCTAATTCCAACTACTATCTAAAAGTGAAAAACAGACCACCCCAAAACCTTATTCAGGCTGAGAAATGTTAATATACATAGGGTTTCATCACTCATATCCAAACAAACCTAGATCATTCTACCATTCCTTTGAAAATTCAAGCAGTATGTTTTTGTCTTCAGAATGTATTCTGTGCAAAGTCCCCATTTCTGGCCAGCCACAGTGGCTCATGCCTGTAATCCCAGCACTTTGGGAGGCTGAGGCAGGCTGATCAATTGAGCCCGGGAGTTCAAGACCAGCGAGGACAATATAAGGAGACCCCCATGTCTATAAAATACAAAACAATTAGCTGGGTGTGGTGGTGCTTCCCTGTAGGTGTATAGTCTTAGCCAGTTAGGAGGCTGAGGTGGAAGGATCACTTGAGCCCACCCAGGAGGTCGAGGCTGCAGTGAGCCATGATCATGCCACTACATTCCAGCCTGGACAACAGA